GTTGGAATGCCGGAACTCGGCTAGAGGGTATGTAATGGCCCTGGAAGACGAAAAAGCCATGGAGGGTTATCTGGAAATGATGTTGCAAGGCACCACCCTCAAGCAGAAGGCGTATGGAACTTTGGCGTCGTCTGACGTAGAGGCGGAAACGATCGAGCAGTTAGTGAGCCTTCCATGGAAAGCAGTAGTGTTGAGGTATTTCGAAGAAGAAATGAGGACTACGCCAAGGATACATGCTCTCGTGGCAGTACCCTACGTAAGGACAGAGTTACAACTCAGGTTCGCCTGGTGCATGATGGGACTGACTCGCGAAGAATATGATTCAGAAGAAAGGAAGAGATCAAAGGAGGAAAAAGTTTTCCTTATGACGAATCTGAGGGATCTGATAGTCCAGGAGGGAGCAGCAATAGCGTGTGCAAAGCGGAGAGACGCTCTCTGTTTCATTCGATTCCTGATAGAGCAGATTTCAGTACCTGCATTAAGCACTTGTGTTAAAATGTTGAGGGAAGGCGATGAGCGAACGAAAGCCATGTTCTTACTAGCAATGCTGGATATGCAGCAAAGTAAACCAATGAGGGTGAACATGAAAGAACCTGAAGAATTGGAACCCATGAAAAAGATAGACGAGATCAGGAGATTCTCAAACAAGGAGTTGAGACTCACTAAAGAATCTATGGGAGCATTGCCGAAATCCAGTGAATACTGTGGACCGATCAAGAAGAAGTCATATAGCTATGTATCTGGGATCTTAGGGATAGCGTACAATCCTTTCCTGAGTGAAGACATACGTGATTGCTTCTTTGATTATGAGCAGGCGGTGTTACTAAGATTCTGGACGTCCAGAATTGTAACGATTAAAAGCGTCAACAATTCACAGGCCAAATTGGGACTGGTCTTGGAAGAAGAGGTGACTGCACCTTCAGTACCAAAATCCGACAAGAGAGTGGAGTTTGGGTTGGGATTCTCAGATGAATTACTGAGAACGAGCTTGATGGCAGTGTGGGAATTGATGAGGCCATCATGGTGTCCTAGTCCCAACGCTGACTCAATATTACGGGCGACACAAGACGTACAGAGGGAACTGAATGCAGACTGTAACCTGCGTGACCTCAACATCATATATAATGTGATGATAACAGCCTCTAAGAGCGACGGAGAAGATAAAGTAGAGGTGCCTGGCTGGGGACCAGAAGACTGGGTCAAACCTGGTAGCTGTCTGGCGGAAGTCTGTGGACTAGAGGGTCACGTTTGTGGAAGTCTAGACTGTGTGAAAACCCTGGAGAAAGAACACAAGCAGTTGACAGTATTGTTTGGAAATGTAGTGATGAAAGCAAGAACGGAAACGGAACTGATAGCAGATTGCCATGGAGGAACCGATGTGAATCTAGTGACAGCACTAGGATTCTACAGCATGTTTGGTTCTTTAGAGTCACTATTGAATCTAGAACAGAAACATGAGATGGTCACAGCCATCAGCGTAGAAGTATTCCCAGGAGTTCTGCAGACTGAGCAGAAGTATATAGGAAAATGGAGGGAAGCAATCGAAACAGAGATGAACATCAGACACAGCGAAACTTATTGTAGACCATCAGGAGCACGATATTTGGTGGGTTCAACGTTGGCTCCAATGTGCAAGAGCAGGTACCCTGTACATTTCGTAGCTGTGGACGTGAAGAGTACAAGAACGATTGTGGATCAAGCCTTCTCAGTGCCGAAGTGTGTGAGATTGGCGAGAATGTCTGAAAAGTCTTACGAGTTACTATGTAAGATGTTCTCAGCAATTCCAGAGAGAACCAAAGAAGAGTTGGAGTCAATACTAGGAAAGAAGTTCATGGGATATGTGAGCGGGAACTTCAGTGACTTCGAAAAACAGAAACAGAGAGGATCAACTGTCTCAGATTACAATGCAGTAGATGAGAATGATGAAATCCACCGAGTGATGATGGAAGTGGAACCATTGCTGGAAGCTTCGGGAAAACGTAATTGGAGGAGCATCATGTTGACACATGACGAGTTTCCTTGCCACTGCTTGCTGCAGACCTGGTGGTATCCCAAGCGTAGTAATCTGATGTTGATCTGGGACTCTGGAGAGCTGCTCTCCATGGGTTTACCAGATTCATCACAGCCCATAACAATAGTGATAGTGGGAGTTATGATGGCGATACGATGGCTGGAAGCTCATGTGAGAGAAAATAATAGACAGAAGGCGCCGACGAGAGAACAATTGCGGAAATTAGATTGTCTAAAAGATTTAGATCTTTTTGAGACAATGTGCAAAGTTCTAAACATTCCGATTGATGCCATGGTTCAGAGCCAACATGACTGCATGGTTGTACGAGTATGCGAAAAAGCATATGTCGAAGCACGGCAGGGTGTACAGTGAATATCAGCTGGACATTGGGGCAGGAGCTTTCAAGCGAGCTCTCGTGACTCATCGGAATGCAGTGACCACCGCCGTGAAAAGGATTTCCAGGACGAGTGAGCGTAGTGGAAATGAGAAGGCAGAGATTCTGAAAGAAGATTTGGAGAGAAACGTGACGTTGTGTCTCCACAACAGTTTCTGCAGAAACAGAGAATCCAACGTGGATCCCCTACCTTGCTGTAAAAAGAGGGTAGAAGAGCAGAAGTGTTGGAGGACGGCTTCCAACAGCGTCAGGATAGCCAATGATGCGCTACAGGACACGGAAACCGAAAGTGCGGAGTCAGTAACACAGGAGGAAGAAATGGAACATTGATGAATGGTCGAGAAAACAAGAGGCAACAAGAAAGAAAATTAGAAGAACTTCTAAACTTAAGTTTTAGAACTTCTAAACGACGAAAAAAGAAGAGAACAAAGGAGTGATGAAGAAAAACTTAAAACTCAGAATTGTTTTATGTGTGTGAAAAACTCAAGTGAGAAACCAAGCAACCAAGTTGTAATTGAAAACTGAAACATTTAGTTGAGTTTTGAAATTGTTGCATTTATACATTTGCATTTTGATTTTAGTTGAAGTGGCTTTAGAGACACTCACTTATTATTTATTTAGAAAGGCTTGAGGGAAGAGTATATTTAAATATTCCAGCCTGCATGATTGTTTTTAATCATTTAGGAAGACTGATCACTTTGTGGTGATGTGGAAGGCTTGAGTAATCTCTCGAAGAGGGAGATTGTTTCATTGTTCTTTCTAACCACAAAGTTTCTTAGTTTTAATATTCAGAACAATAAACAAGCAAGATTTCCGAAGGGAAGGAGCATAGTAGGATAATTTTAGCTTGTTGGTTGGCAGGACTGTCCCGCAAGCCAACACTTTTTAAATCTAGGAGAAAAAGTTCTAATCGGGACATTGACACTGGAAGTCAGAAAAAATGTTTTATCTTAAGTCATATCCTCAATGTGCAGATTAATGAAGGAATTTGAAGGCTATAGTGATGTAGTATGATGCCATTTATATTCTGCAGTGAGTCGATGTGACGTAGATAAAAGTAATTTCGTGCATTTTGTAAATTCTGTTCGATGACACTGTAACCATTTAGAACATTGCGCGATTCAATGAGGACATTGACCGGACTGTCCGGGGAGTATGTGACATTCGACCTGAATGTCAAAAATGCAATCTCTGCAGAATTCGGAATTTTAGCAGTAAGCCTTCCGGATTGGTGGTTTTTAAGAACTAAGGGCGTTATTGGAACGTTTAGCCAAACGGTGAAGGCTGGAATATTCTGGTATTTTAAAATTTCAAAAATTCGAATGATGACGTCACATTTCTGAGAAATGCTGAAACGGCCATTTTAACAAGAAACGAGAGAAGAAAAACAACAACATTAGTTGCGCTGACGAGAACAACTTTATCGAAATTGAAGAAGTCGAAATTGAAGAAAAACAGCAGCAGATTGCAGAGAACGTTCCGAGTTGCAACTATTGTGCTGCTACAATAGTTGCAAGGCCGTTGCGAACAACGGTGAAGGGTAAGAAACCAGCCTTCCGTGTTGTCGTGAAATCGAACTTAAGGAGCTTGATTCACCGGATTCAAGAATCCGGAAGGGTCTCGGGACGGAAAACTTTTATTGACTCATATGAACTTTTAGCATCCTGTCATGTCCTGACTTGAATTTAATTGATATTTGGATTAGTTTTGACAAGGATGAGGTGCTAAGAGTTGGGGGGGAAAGGGTTGATCCATCTTCGATGGAGATGATGATTTTTATCTACTGAACAAAAACAATAGTAATATAATAAGTAGTAGCCCTGTTTTTAGGAGTGACCTCGTGGTCTGGGGATACTGAGACCCAGCCATGAGCTCACTATTTTTGCATGTAATTCAGTTAATTTGAGCGTTCTGGTCGAAGCCGGAGAACAGTAACGTTTTTGTCGACCCGACGTTAGAAAAGACCACCGAAAAGTACTGGCTTGGTAGAGACGGTGAAAAACATGCAAAGCTCTGTTTAGACGCTAGCCAGTCGTCTTAAGACTTAGTTTTGTTATCCGTCGATATGTATCTTCCGGGCGAATGTTACACAACCGAAAAAAATGTGAAAACGAAAAAATATTATAGGAAAGCGCTAAGGAAAATTAGAAATCTCAGAATTTTTTTTATGTTTTAACGACTGTAAATCATTCTATATCAGTTTTTTTAACCTGACGATGGACAGACTTCCGAAAACCTTCGACTTCCAATTTCAATAATTTTTCTTTGAAACATTTAGTCTTAAAGTACTGAGAGTGAACTCGTGGGTGAAAAGTTGTTAACCAAGCGTGATGCTTCGCGTTTGCAATTGAATTGCCATCTAATTTTGGTTTGCTCCAATAAATTGATAATTGATTTCAAACAGTCCAATTAATTGCAAATAAATTTTCAGTTTTCCAATTATTTTTTAAACTGCGCTGGTTATTTCCCAGGAATTGTGGAATTGAAGGCTCGAAGCCGATTAATTTTATAAAAATTTTCAAAGCTGCTTAAGCTACTGTAGCTTCTGATTGATTGAATTTATTTCCAAATCAGTTGTTTATTTGAGGCTATTAGCCTAATTGTTGTGATAAACTTATTAAATAGAGGGAATGAAGCGGCATTCAATTGCGTGTCTTCTTTTAGCCAATCGCAGCACCATACCGTTAGTTTAGATACAACAATCAATAAGAACTCGTGTCTTTAATGTAACATTTCGCTATTATTAGCTGTGCGAGTTTATAGTTCATCTCGGATCCATTTGTATATACATGTCATGAAAGCTTGACAGTGGCATTCGACGAATTCTACCGCCTGACAAATCGCTTGTCTTAGGGTCGTAATCGGATTCAAAATTTAACTAGAAGTTAATTACACTTCCTCTCCCAATTACAAAAAAACGCTGACGACATTATGTACTAATCACAGTGTGGAACATCATAGTAATCACAACATCTCGGATAGTTCAAAACGCTCCAGGGACAAAATAAAATCCAATATGGGAGTGGACCAATGATGTCGAGGACAATGATGACGCGGAGTCGCCAGGGTGACCCCGCCTCTCAACCACTTTCGCCACATTCAGAGCAACCAATGTTACGAAGGACGACAAGGGCCAACAGTCAAAATTCTGATAACATCCTGACCCAGACCCCAGGCCGCCTTAGAGATGCTCCTTCAGGACGGCCTGGAGAACACAAAAAAGATGCTCCTCCAGTGGTTGCCAGCAACCTCGAGGCGATGAATCCAATGGATGTGCTGCAATGTCTGTGAACGCTGGTTCCACAGCATCTGCCTCGATCTGACTTCAGAGGCTGTGAACCATATGGAAGACTTCAAATGCCCAGATTGCTTGGTTGGACGAGGAACCAGTAGTAAGCAGCCTTGCCCAAGCTGTAGCAAGAGTATCTCACTTCTCGCCAACAAAACTTTTCGCGCACATGGACCACCAGATGTCCCTCTTTTGGCCACACCAGATGTCCCTCTTCTGGTCACCCGGCCACTGCTTCTATTCCAAAACTTGTCAAGACGCAAGACACATGTCTGCTAGATCTCGTCAAAAACTCACGCTGCAAAGTCCTCAAGCACGTGCCCAAAGCAGCTAGGACATCTTTTGCTCAAGCCCTCACCACCCTTATCAAAGATGTCATTCGCAACCCAATGAACATCAATTCCTGGTTGCGTGTACTTCTCTTCGCTCATCACTGCTTGAAAGCGCCAGCTAGATCCAATTCTCGCAAAAATCAGTCTCTAGCCAGCCACGTTAACAAGCAAACTGCTGCTTTCTTGCAACTGGACATCAATGATCTCATTACACAAGCTATGTCGGAAGAACAGAAAGTCAGTACCAGGAAGAACACTTCTACAACATAAAACATTGCGAAAAGAATATTGGAAAACTTGACACGGGAGATGTTAAGGGTCCTGTCAGATTCGAGAGCTCAGCTGACTCTTCTGCTACCCCTGACGAAACCAACCTCAAGCTTCTTCAGGACAAACATCAGGACTGTCCCGAAAACAGGCGACCTTTTCCGCCAATCAAACACGAAACTGATACTCTCACTGATACCTATGACCTCGTGAAAGACATGATAAAATCTTTCCCTAACGGATCTAGAGCAGGCCCTTCATCACTCCGGGCACAACATCTAAAAGATGGCGTCTCAGTCAATTTGGAGAAACGGGCAAAAAACTCCTTGAATCTATCACCGATGTATGCAACATCTTTCTCAGCAATGAAATTCAAGTAAGCGTCCAACCACTACTGTTCGGTGCAAATCTCATATCGCTGGAGAAAATATCTGCTGAACTAAGGCCAATTGCCGTTGGCGAAGCATTCATATGACTTGCCGGCAAGTGCGCTGCCAGTGTTATCGCCAAAAAAATTGCAACAATGATGGCACCCATGCAACTTGAAGCAGGTGTCCGTTTTAGAGCAGAAGCGGCTGCTCACGCTGCTCGATACTTCATCAACAACATGCTCGACGACATGCTCTGCTTCAATATCGATATTGCAAATGCATTCAATACCGTCAGAAGAGATTTCCTGGCGGAAGTAATCAAATTACATGCCCCAGAGGTCTATACATTCGTAAAACGCTGTTAAAAACATTCTTCATTTTTGTGCTACGGTGACTACATTATCTTTTCAAGCGAAGGTTTTCAGCAAGGTGATCTGATTGCGTCCATTGGATTCTGCATTGTTATTCATCATCTGCTCACTAACCTCGCTTTCAAATTCAAATGTGGCTACCTTGATCACTTATCGGCAGGTGATAACTGGAAAACCGTCTTACAAGACTTGAAAGAACTCATTGATGAGGCCAGAAAACTTGGACTGATGATCAAGCCCGCCAAATGTGAACTCACGGTGAAAGGAGAAAATACTGTCTCAATTCTTGGGAAGTTTAACGCTTTCTGTCCGGGCAACGAGTTGATCCCGGTAGAGGACGTGACACTTCTAGGTGCAGCATTAGGCGAGAAAAGCCTTGACACGATACTCGAGAAAAAAAATGAAGAGTTCAAATGCCTCTGCACCAACATCGAAGATATTCCCAAACATCACGCATTCCTCCTCATTAAAAACTGCTTCGCTATACCAAAACTTTTATACATAATCCGTACCTCTGCTGACTTCAAAAAGGACTAAATTTTACAAGAAATGCATGAAAACATGAAAGACACCATGGAATCAGTCATGAACATATCTCTTGGGAGAGACACTTGGACTCGGCTGACACTCCCAGTCAAGCTTGGTGGCTTCGGCCTACAGTCTCCTATTGAACTAGCACCCTCTGCTTTCATTGCAGCGTTCGTTTCTTGCTCTTCACTTGCCACATCACTGTTCAATAATCATTCCCCCTCAGATTTGCTTCTCCGAGAGGCACTATCACTTTGTGAATCAATGGCAGGTGAAGTTTCCAGTATAAATGCTGCAATGACTATACCACTTCAGAAACAATGGACTAATCCAGTCTCGAAAAACAATCTCAGACTACTTATCGAGCAATCTGCAATTGATCTTCAAAAAGCTCGCCTACAAAGAGTCAACTGCCCAGACGCAGGAGATTGGCTCAATGCCCTTCCTTCCAATCCTCTTGCTCTCTGTCTCCAGGATGACAAATTCGGCATTGCCTGTGGCATCAGATTGGGCGCCCCTGTATCAACAATACACAGGTGTCTGTGTGGCAGCACTCTCGACTACAACGGCACGCATGCCTTGGTCTGCCCTCGAATCAACCTGAAGGTTGACGAGATACACCATATGCAATGGAGTTATCAGTGACGCCTTAAACCGCTCAAATTCCCGTCACACTTGAACCTACTGGCCTTCTCCGTGATGACGGACGCCGACCGGACGGCACCACGTTGACACCATGGCATCGTGCCAAGCCCATTTCCTGGGATTTTACAGGCGTCAACAGAGTCGCGACATCCAATACCTCCTCAGTAAAACAAGAAGGCCCAGTCATCGCCAAGATAGCCGAGGATAGAAAATGCAACAATTATCGCCAGCTGGAAACCTCTCACCATTTTGAACCTTTTGCAATCGAGACCCTTGGAGGTATAGGTGAAACCAGCTAAAACTTTTTGAAAGAACTCTCCCGCCGCATTGACGCAGTTTTCTATTTTTAAGACAACGGCTGGGCGTCGCTGTGCAACGTGGCAACGTCATCTGTGTGCTTGAGCCGGCACTCAAACACAGCTCACTTTTTCTTCATTTGTTTTACCACAATGTTTATTTTCATTTCTTGATTGAATTTTTTTACCATTTATTTGAAAGCATAAGTACTTAAGGGTTATGTAACTGTCACTAAAAATAAATAAAATAATTGGTTTTAGCCCTGTAGTCGTTAGCACTCCTGGGACCCAGCTATGTGGTTATTATTTGTATTTAGTCGAAAGCTAAGTATGATTCGTCCGGCTTCTCTCCTAAAAGTCGTTACATGTCATTAGACCCTGAAATAGACCAACTGAAATTTGATGCTATGCTGAAAAGATCGTTCCAAGCAGACATTTTTACCTTGTTTTCTGTTTCAGAGTGTCGATGGGGGTGTGAAAATGGTATTCAAAGACTTGGAATGTTGCAGTATAGAACTCGCAGATTTATTGAACAGTTCAAAACAATTGAAAAATTCGACTAAAGTTTTTCAAACGTCAGTGAAACCATGTTAAACTCAAGTTACCTAATATATCTGCTTTTAAATGCAGTAATAATAATTCTTTTAGCCAGGCGCGGATCTAGGTTTTGAAAATGGCCAAAAACGGTAAATTTTGACTAAAAAGTCGCGCGCTCCCCCAAAATTAGTATATATTGGCGCCTTTAGAAAATTTTTAGGGTCCGTCACCACAAATGGATGTCTCAAAAATAGTACAAAGGGGTACCCTTTGGGTCGGCAGGGGGCCGAATCCTAGAGGGTAGGCGTCCCCCCCCCCCTCAATCCGCTACTGCTTTTAGCTACTCGGCTAAAAATCTGTGTTAATTGTTTTCAAATTTATGAAAGTGAGAATAACTGAGTTACTTGCACGGCACTCGTAGTCTGGTGTTTTATAATTACTCAAAATCGTAATATTTCAACCTGCAAAGACTTCTGTTTTAGTCAAGTCGTTGTGAAACCACCATCTTACGCAACATGTCTAGCTGTCCATGAAAACGAGTGTGCGATTGTCCGTAAATCCAACCTTACCGACCGTTCGCCTCAGTATGTTGGATCAGATTGGGCTACAACTTGTGTTATGCTTATATTAGAAACCGATGAACATGTGTGTTGCTTACATCATGACAGCCCGGATGAGACGGCTGTAAGAATGCAACAGGCCCTGTATTACCTAGGCCAATATTGTGACCTTGTGAGTTTTTCCCTTGCACGTCGTAAACAAACTACTCTCATACATCACGCACTGGTGGCAGCGATTGAGTCAATTTTAAGATGGCCAAACTAAACTTTCAAAACTAAGTGTATCGCAAGCGGGACTTTCTTCGCGGTAGAAACTTTGAGAACAGATTGCTTGGCATTTCACTTCAGGAACAGCTTGTTTGATTAGTGAAAGCTAATTAGGTATTCGAAGTTTTCCAAACGCAAACGTGAAAAATTTCGTGGAAGTAAT